AAAAACCTTTAAAAAGTAGAATCTTTGTGAGTGATCACTACAATACAGACTGAAGACTATCATTCTACATCAAATTCTTCCTTTTACAGAAAACAATACTGAGACTTAGTATTGTCAACAGGTCAAACCCACCTGGTTCCCTCTCTTTCCCAGCTTCCCATGTTTTTCCATGTCAGACCAGTGGGGCAAGCAGGGACCTACTTTGCTAATCCCTTCTCCATGAGATGGGAATAGTCATGGCCTAACCTCTTAGACATGTGGCAAGATCCCTAAGTGGAGAGATCAAAGAAAAGGACTGGGGAAAGGCCAAATATAATTCCTTTAATATGGAAGTTATCCAATTTCAGTAAAATCTGCTTGGATTTTACACATTGCTGCCCCATTGTTTTACATTAAATTTGAGCTCCCTTCTGTACTTCCTTATGGTTAGAATTTATCCCACGCAGACCTTTTTGTTTGTTTGTTTTTTGAGAAAGTCTCACTATGTCGCCTTCAGTAGAGTGCTATGGTGTCACATCTCACAGCAACCTCAAACTCTTAGGCTTAAGTTATTCTCTTGCCTCAGCCTCCCCAGGAACTACAGGCTTCTGCCACAATGCCCGGCTATTTTTTTGTTGTAGTTGTCGTCGTTTGGCAGGCCCGGGCCAGGTTTGAACCTGCCAGCCCTGGTGTATGTGCCCTAGCTCAGTGGCTAGGGCACACACAAGACCTCTTAATGTTTCTGAGCACCAAGCATCATTGGATGCCTTGGACCCACAGAGTTTTAGCCTGAAGCATCACTGAAATCTTTTGTCTGAGTATTTTGCAATTCTCACTTAACAGCTATGTATGAAGTATTTTTTATTATGTTCTAAAAATTGGTTGTTGGTTGGTGCAAGCTATCTGGATTTTCATAAATAGTTTGCTGTAACATTAATCAGTTCATTCAGCCAGCATTTATAGTAGCCTACTCTGTCAGATATCATGCCTGGTTCCATACAATATACAAATTGCTTTTTTTAAACATTCAGCCTTCTACTTTTAGCTACAAAGTAATATAAGAGAGATGAATCCAGCTCGGCGCCTATAGCTCAACCGGCTAAGGCGCCAGCCAC